CAAGGCTGAGTGAGGTGGTAATCCTGTCTGCTGATGATTGGGTCTATATTTGTTTTGTTAGTTGTTTATATGAGGCATCCTGCACAGGGTGCTACTGGGGGTTGTGTGATGCCGGTCTTGTATTCAGCTGGTTTCCTTTGTGTGATTTCTCACCATTTGACACTCCCTAGGGTTAGTTCTCTGGTAGTCTAGGGCTCTGGAGTTAGTGCTCCCATTCCAAAGGCTCAGGGCTTAGTCTCTGGTCAGGAACGAAGATTCCACAAGTGGTTTTTTTATGGCATTAAGTGAGAGTAAAACAAATATCCAAAAATGAGAAGCCAAAGATGAGCCCCAGACAAATGGCAGTTACAAAATCAGGCAAATAATAATTAAATAATGGAGTATACACATATACATACACCTATGGGCAAAGTCAAAACAGTCCAAGAAAAATAAAGTATAGTAGATTGACCTGGCAAACAAAGGAAATCAAAAATTTTATTTACCATTTAAGAACAAAACTAACTAAAGTGCAAACTGAAAACAAAACTAAAGCAAGATGCCAAGTGGGCAATAAAGCAATGAAAACAAAACTAAGAAACATGTTGAGAGGAAAGGGAAGAAAGAAAGAATAGATATGCAAAGTTAAATAGAGGTAGATGAAGATTTATATATGTTAAAGTTTAACTTCAAGGGGAAAAGAACAGTAGGAAAGGCAAACAAAGGAATAAATGTAGAAAAAAATATAACAGGTTTAAAAAATTAAAATAATAAAATTAAGATTATATTTTAAAATTAAAATATATTTATATTATATTTTATATTTAAATATATTGTCCTGGAGAGAGCATGAATTAAAATATATTATAATTGTATATTATATTTATATTTAAAATAAAAATATATATTAAAAAATAAAATTATAAAAAAGAGAAAAGAAAAACAGAAGAAGAAAGAAAAAAGGAAAAAAAATGGAAAACTCCACAGAACTGCAAAAGCCCAACATAGAGTCAGAGGTTTATAACAACAATAAAAAGTGTGACTGAATATACACATATTCATATACACCCATAAGCAAAATCAAGCAGTCCTACAAAAGTAAAGTACAGTGGATTGACTCAGTGAACAAAGGAAACCAAAAATTACATCTACCAGAACAAAACTAACTAAAGCACAAACTGGAAAGCAAAACTAAAGAAGGCACCAATTGGGGAATAAAGCAATGAAAAAAAACTAGCAAATATGTTGAGAGGAAAGGAAAGAAAGAAAAGAAAGAAAGGATATGCAAAGTTAAATAGAGGTAGATAAAGAAGATTTATATACATTAAAGATTAACTGCGTGGGGAAAAGAATAGTAGGAAAAGCAAACAAAGGAATAAATGTAAAAAAAAATAATAGGTTTAAAAAAATTAAAATTAAAGAGAAAAAAAAGGGAAACGCCACAGAACTGCAGAAGCCCAACATAGAGGCAGAGGTTTATAACAATAAAAAATGTGACCTAGGGGGGAAATAAAAATCTCAAAAGCTTAATTAGATTTCATAGTGCCGATAAAATTGACAACTACAACATAGGGGGAAAAAAAGAAAAAAATCCAAAGGAATCTCCAGAGCAAATCAAAACTTAAGAATAATAATAATGTTTTTCTTGAGTCACTGCTGTCCTTTCCCTCGCTGGGAGTCACAGTCCATCTCACCTCCCTAGGATGCCCCCCAACACTGTGCTGATCTCTGGACCTGCTGTGGAGGCAGCTCAGATCCTAATCTTGTCCTACTCCTGTGCGGTCTTGCCTCCAATGTCCACTAGTGCATTTTCTTTTGTAGGAACTCTCAATGACCTTTTTTATATTCCATAGACACAGAGTCTGGTTAGTTGGTTGTGTGGATTTAATCTGCAGTGTGTACAGCTGGTGGGAAGGTTTTGGGTCTTCTTCCTTAGCCACACTACCCCTAGGTTTCAATTGTTGTTTTATTTCCACCTCTGCATGTGGGTCGTGCACTGGGGTTTGCTCCTGAGGCTGCCCTGGAGGACTTGGGTCTGCCCCTGTGAGGGCCAGGTGTGGAGGTGGTGCAGCTGCTTGGGTCACAGGGTTTCTGGCAGCACCAAGTTCTCAGGGGAGTAGGTGGCTAGGGAACCAGGAACTATAGCGCTCTAGAAGGGTATGGCAACCAGTATTGGCCAATATGCTCCAGTATTCTTGCCGGGAGACTCTCCATCCCTGACAGAGAAGCCTGGCAGGCCACAGTCTACAGGGCTGCAAAGAGTCAGACACAACTGAAGTGACCCTGTGCCCATAGACGCAAGACATGTTTTGCCTGTGGCAGCTCTGCTCAGTGAGAGTTAACCATGAAGGTGGCGCAGCTGCTTGGCTTTCGGGGACCCTGGCAGCGCCAAGTATGCAGGGACAGGCTGCCTCTGCCACAGGAGTTATGGTCCTCTCAGAGTCTTTATTCCAGCCTCTTGTAGCTGGCAATCGAAGGCCTCTTTGGCTAGTCTTTCTCCATAGCCCCGCCCGTTCAGGCACTTAGAGGGCTTCCTTGCCTGGGGTCCTTCTCTGTTGTTCAGCGCGCCAGGCACATAGAAGGGCCCTTCTGGGGGGTGCTACTCTGTAGATCAGCGCGTCAGGCACTTAAAGGGGCGCCCTGTCTGGGGTCCTACTCTGTAGATCAGCGCGTCAGGCACTTAAAGGGGCGTCCTGGCTGGGGTCCTACTCTGTAGATCAGCATGTCAGGCACTTAAAGGGGCGCCCTGCCTGGGGTCCTGCTCTGTAGTTCAGTGCCTCAGGCGTTTTATGGGCCAGCCTCTCTATTGTTCAGGTGCTGGTGTGTAGGGGGAGAGAGGCTATGGTGATGGCTCCACCTGCTAGGCATGACTCAGCAGTATCGCCTTGCTTCCATGGCTGCCTGGCTTTCCTCCACAGGGCTTTCCCACCACAACCTCTTTCCTCACATCCCCTCAGTGCACCTCTCTGCAATCAATAGCAGCCCTTGCCCTGGGATTGCTCCACAGTCCCCAAACTCCAGCTCCCAGCCACTGCACCTTCCAGGGGACCTGCATCCCTGTCCAGGGTATATATAGCTGCAGCAAGGACTGTCTGATTCTCATTCCATTTAGGCTGCCATAGATCGGCTGTTTCACTCTCAGCCTTAAATGTTTCTCCTCTGACTCAATCACCCTGATGTGGGGATTGGACCCCTGCTTCAGCTCCCCCACTCACCAAGGGCGGATCTAGTCCTACAAACACTCCTGTTTTCCCCCTAGTTCCTTGTCCTGCTGAGTTCTGTGTGGTTCTATATATTCTCTACCTCTGGTCAGGTACTCCTCTCTGCTCTCAACTGGTGTTGTGCATGCACTTCTGTGTCTGAAGGTGTATTCCTGATGTTCCATGGAGAGAGATGTACTCCATGTCCACCTACTCCTCCACCATCTTGTTCTCTTGGATCCTCTGTTCTTTGAGTAGGATGGATGATTCAATATCACAAAGATGTCAGTTCTCCCTAAGTCATTTTTTAAGTTTAATACAACCTTAATAAAAATCCTAGTTTTTAAAGGAAATTAGATGAATGAATACTAAATTTCATGTGGAAAAATAAATACACAAGAATAGTCAAGAAAACACTAAGAAAGAAAATTGTCTGAGCGGTGGAAACTAGCCTTGTTGTTGTTGTTGTCTTGTCGCTCAGTCATGTCTGACACTTTGCAACCCCATGGACTGGAGACTAGCCTTATCAGATCTTAAAATATAATTTTATATTATTTTAATTAAATATGAAAATATAATTAAAATATTATGATATCAATGTATTAATGGACAAATAGGCAAATTATATAGAATAGAAAACCCAGAAATGGACCCAAGAACTTACAGAAATTTAGTTTATGATAAAGATGGCATCTTAAATCAATATGTAAAGAGGGTCTTTTATAAAAACTTTCTTATTTCTCGCAGTTTAACACAATTGTGATGGAAAATAAAATATACCATCTCAGCCATATTTAAATGTACAGGTTATTCTTGTGAAACAGATCTTCAGAACTTTTTCATCTTAAAAAACTGAAACTCTATACTCATTAAACAATAGATCCCTATTTCTCCCTCTGCTGAGCCCCTAATAACCACCATTCTACTTCATGTTTCTATGAGTTTGATTACTTTAGATACTTCATGTAAGTGCTATTGTATAGTATTTGTCTTTTTGTGACTGGCTTATTTCACCATGTTATAGCATGTGACAGAATTTCTCTCCTTTTTGAGGCTGAATAATATTCCACTATATGTTAAATTTTGTTTATCCCATTCTTCAGCTGATGGATGCTTAGGTTGTTTCTACCTTTTGGTTATTGTAAATAATGCTGCTATAACTTTAAGCTAAGACCAAGCATTTTTGCTTTCTTTTCCATGCTGAAGACATTAAACATTCAATCTGTCAAGCATATGAGAGAAAAGACTAATGATAAACCCTTCAAAAAGTAAAGTGAAAATTTTTCCTTATAGTGTTTTAATGTTCCATCATTTAGATACATCATTTCTAGTGTGATAATATGGACAAAAATGATTATCCATTAAGGACAGTCATCTTATTTGCTTACTTTAGCATAGTTTTGATAAATTTGACAAAAATTTAAATAAACAGAAAATGTAAAAGATATGAAGATAACTACATATAAAAGTTTTGGAATCCATTTTAATTTGAGAAATATCAAGCATTCCATATGCTATTACCTTGGCTATAGGGTAAAGATACAATTATCTTAGAAGTCAACAGCTTAGGGTTTTCCTTTAGCCCTCTGATGTATGAGGTTTTTGATAAGGGGTTAGGATCAAAAGAACATAAGTTGGTCTTTCATTGTTGTACTCCAGTATATACTCAAAATCTGTTGTCATCCCTTAATTTCAAGTTCTTTGACTAATCAGGTTGTGCTAGGAACCCATCCCATTCCCTTATCTCTGTATTTGAACTCTCTCCTTTGACCCCATGTTTTTCTTCCTAATACTTATTTTTCTATTTTTGCTCCTACCAAGGTACAATCACTGGTTTGATGGAATGGCTTTACTTCACCAGTTCAAGATGGAGAAGGGCACAGTGACATATAGGAGCAAATTTCTACAGAGTGATACATATAAAGCCAACAGTGTTCATGATCGAATTGTGATCTCAGAATTTGGCACATTAGCTCTCCCTGACCCATGCAAGAATGTTTTTGAACGTTTCATGTCAAAATTTGAAAAGCCTGGTAAGCACCCTTTATTATGCCCAGAATTTTCAGGTAATAGTGATGATTCTTTTAATTATTATGACATATGTCAATCTTTATAAATATGGATCTTGATGTTTATTTATTTTGATATGAGAGGATGGTTCAACTGCTTTCTCCCTTGATTGTGTGCTTAGGATCTGCTATAGTAAGTTGTGGTATTTAAATAACTTTGGGATTTGGTTTCAGCAATTACTGACAACACCAGTGTCAACTATGTGCAATACAAGGGTGATTACTACCTTAGTACGGAAACCAACTTTATGAATAAAGTGGACATTGAGACCCTGGAAAAAACAGAAAAGGTAAAATATAGGTTAAAAATATAATAGAGCCTAAAATTTCTCTCCAAATACTCTCAAATACTTTTTAGAGTAGTTATTATCAGAAGAAAAATTTGGATTCTTAAACAAAATCAAAGTTACCCACTGATTCAGGTCATTATGTACCCTCTGTCTTCATTAGAATGGTCCGTGGTATTGGTTGCCCTTAAAGATAATTCTAGATTTCTTCTTTAGTCCAGTTGTCTGAAGGTTAGGGCAAAAGAGGCATAGCATAGTAAAGATTTATTTCTGTCATTTCATTTTCTGCTTAGCTACAGGTAGAATTGGACTGGAGATTATCTAGACCCATACTGCCCTGGAGAAGGAAATGTCAACCCACTCCAGTATTCTTGCCTGGGAAATTCCATGGACAGAGGAGTCTGGTGGGCTACAGTCCATGGGGTCACAAAGAGTCAGACATGACTGAGCAACTAACATATATTGCCTTCATGTTACACATTAATTTGAAGCAAAATAAAATTTGGGGCCAGATTTTAATCCTTATTCTTTTGAGCTTTCTTGTGATCTTAAGCAAAAAAATTTCTTACTGGATAATCATTTTTGTCCATTTCTTGGTGGTAGTGATGCTGGGAGGGATTTTGTTTGGTTTTCTTGTTGTTTGTTCTTAGTGTCTTTTTCTTCAGTAGGAAAAATAATTTTGATTTCATAGAGGTGAGACATCAAGACTTAAACTATAATTTTTATATCTTATTTTAAAAGTATTTGCTACATCCCTACTGTCTGTGCATCTAAATAGAGACCTACCCATGTAATTTAAGTCTCTGAATGGTCTTAAATTTTCAGGTTGACTGGAGGAAATTTATTGCTGTGAACGGAACAACTGCACATCCTCATTATGATCCAGATGGAACAACGTACAACATGGGGAACTCCTATGGGAAACATGGTAACATTGGGGTGGGAGTCTTTGAAAAAATAATTGGGAGTTAACTGTCTTCCCAGAGTTCCATTACGGCTAAGATGTTAACTTATATGAAACTCATTTGAAAATTTCAGAAAGAAATCTCTGAAATTGCATTTCTGAACTCAAAATATGTAATTTATTGTTATGTTCTGTGGTCTTTTTGTGCATATACTTAGAAGCTGATTTTCTATTTTGTCTTTTCATCATGACTCACATTTTTATGTTCCATTATGCTTTTTGGCTCACATGCATTGTAGGGATTTTCAGTATATATTTCTCAAACTTGAATTTTTATAAGGTACCATACTATAAGAAATTTAGAATGGTACAGCAAAGAGATAAAGAGAAGGTACACTGTATGTTACATAGAGAGGAATTTATTTTTACCATGGGAGTAATACACTACAAAGTAAGTTAAGGTTAAAGTTTGGTTTCATTTGCTGCTACTTGTATCACATCCCTTTCCTGTTCATCTGTATGCTTTCCTAGCTGTTAGTCTGTTCCAGAAAGTTCTAATGGCTAATAATGATAGCTGACATTTATAGAGTAACTAGTATGTGCTGGTGTTAACAATTTTTTCCCATATAGTTTCTCGTTTAATCCTATATCAAATCTCTGAGAAAGGTACAATTATTTTTCTTTTTTAAATTGAGGTATAGTTGATTTACAATGTTGTGTTAGTTTCCCATATTTTTTTCCATTATGGTTTACTGCAAGTTATTGAATATAGTTCCCTGCGCTATACAGCAGGACCTTGTTGTTTATCTATTTTATAGACAGCAGTTTGCATTTGCTAATCCCATACTACTAATTTATTCCCCACCCATTTCCCCTTTGGCGACCATACATTTGTTTTCAATGTCTGAGTCTATTTCTGTTTTGTAAATAAGTTCATTTGTATCATATTTTAGATTCCCATACAAATGATATCATATGATTTGTCTTTCTCTGTCTTACTTCGCTTAATTGATAATCCCTAGGTCCATCGATGGCATTAAGAAAGGTATTATTACCCCCATTTTATAGATGAAGGCAGTGAACCTTGAGAAGATTTAAGATGCTTGCTTAAGCAAGCCTCAAGTGTCTAATACCAGGCTTGGAACCAAGCCTGAATAACACAGAAAAAGCTTTCTATTGTCATTCTGTTAGACCATCTTAATAATTATTTATCACTGAGTGCAGAGGGTTCTCTCAGGGCATGCAAATTCATTATCATATACCCGAATATACATCTCTCTCTGTTTGGAAAGGAATGTGTAACTACAAGTATTAGAAGTTTCTGACTGTCTATCTTAGCTGTCAATCTATCATCTATAACCTATGAATCCTTTGTATAGGTTAATTTTTGAATAGGTTAATGTATACCTCTGGTAAGGAATTGGCTTTTTGGGTTGTTCATCTTTACCTCTCCATATTTCCACATATGAGTATATATGAAAGTGAAGACTTCAGGTTTGTTTTTTTACTGGCTCAAGAAAAGATAGGGTACCCTGGAAACTTCATCACCCAGCCCTCTCTGCCCTTTGTTACCTGGCCTCAAGTAAGAATGTATTCTTCACATCTGTTATAGGAAACATCAAATATCTTTTTAGGTAAAGTCTTTAAGCAAGTGGGTAAACTGACTCAGCATTTTTTTTTTTTTTGTCCACTCACTTTTTTTTACCATTAAAAATTCATTTCTTAATAAATTAACTCTAATAACCAAGTGAGGCTTCCCTGGTGGCTCAGATGGTAAAGAATCTGCCTGCAATGCAGGAGACTCAGGTTCAGTCCCTGGGTTGGGAAGATCCCCTGGAGAAGAGAATGGCTACCCATGCCATTCATCAGGTATAGATGTGAGAGTTGGACCATAAAGAAGGCTGAGTGCCAAAGAATTGATGCTTTAGAATTTTGGAACTGGAGAAGACTCTTGAGAGTCTTGGGCAGCAGGAGATCAAACTAGTCACTCCTAAAAGAAATGAATCCTATTCATTTGAATGACTGATGCTGAAGATGAAGCTCCAGAACTTTGGCCACCTGATGCAAACAGCTGACTCATTGCAAAAGACCCTGATCCTGGGAAAGATTGAGGGCAGAGAGGAGAAGGGGGCAACAGAGGGTGAAAGGATTGGATGGCATCACTGACTCAATGGACATGAGTTTGAGCAAACTTCAGGAGATAGTGAAGGACAAGGAAGCCTGGTGTGCTGTAGTCCATGTAGCAAAGAGTTGGACACGACTTAGTGACTGAGAAACAATTAACAGCCCACTCTAGTATTCTTACCTGAAGAATTCCATGGACAGAGAGGAGCCTGATGGGCTCTAGTCTATGAAGTTGCAAAGAGTTGTAGATAACCTTGTATATAGTCCATAATATAAGAAATACTGTTTAACCATTTTAATTTATTTTTCTAAAATAAATGCTCACTAGGTCAGTGATTCTCAGACTTCCCTGGTGGCTCAGACAGTGAAGCATCTGCCTACAAGGTGGGAGACCTGGGTTTGATCCCTGGGTTGGGGAGATACCCTGGAGAAGGGAAAGGATACCCACTTGTGTATTCTGGCCCGGAGAATTCCATGGACGGTATAGTCATGGGATGGCAAAGAGCTGGACATGACTGAGCGACTTTCACTTTCATCACCTGAAATGCATTTCTCCCAGATATCCTCAAGGCTCTCTTCCTCCCTCCCTTCATGTCTTGACTCAAATGCCACCTTCTTAGTGAAGCCTTCCCAGACCGCCATAATTTAAATTGCAAATAGTAGCAGCCCACATCCTTATACACTCACTTCTAATTCTCATTCCCTGTTTATTCCTCATTATAGTTCTCATCTGGTGCATTATATTTTTATTTATTGTATGATTTTTTTAAATTTGAGTTTTATAAAAGAAGAGCCTTTTGTCTATTTTGTACATTATTTTGCTGTACACAAGTGTCTATAATATGGTGCTTAGGACTCTTAGAGAAGAGTGCCTAGAATATAGTTGACATTCAGTAAGGGCTTCCCAAGTGGCACTAGCAGTAAAGAACCTTCCTGCCAATGCAGGAGACTTAAGAGATGTGGATTGGATCCCTGGGTCAGGAAGATCCCCTGGAGGAGGAAATGGCAACCCACCCCAGTATTCTTGCCTAGAAAATCCCATGGACAGAGTAACCTGGTGGGCTATGGTTCATAGGGTTGCAAAGAGTCAGACATGACTGAAGTGACTTAGCTTTCAAGGAGTTGCTAATAAATGAGTAGAGAAATGGATGGTTATCCTGTTCCAAAAGAGGTGAAGAGATTGTGAAATTCTATAAGTTACAGGTTCTTCAGGACCTACATTGGCACTTCTAACACCAGAAAGATAATTCAATATGATCTCAGTATTTGTTCATTCATTGAGTTATTTAACAAACATATGTTCTTAGTCAATCCATCAGTAGTTTTTTATAGTTCACCTACAGGTCAATGTTTGGTACTAAGGATGCAAAGATGTGTCAGTTTTAGTTCCTGCTCCGGAAGAGCATAGTCTGCTAGGAAACTGATAAATACACAGAAAATTAGAGTAAATTAGATAAGTACGATGACAGTGTAGAATATAATCAGAGCATAAAGGAGGGGCAACAAATGTCTTTGGATGGGAAAAGGCTGCTTAAGGTGTGGGTACCTAAGTTGATTGTTGAGGAAGTAATAATAATCAAATGAATAATTGCATGAGTGAATGTTGATAAGATGGGAGGAGAGGGGACCCAAAGTGACCCCAAGGATCTAGAAGACTGAAAGGAAGAAGTTGGACATAAGTACAAATGGAGACTGTAGTTTTTGGAACTGGGGAGTGGGGAGAAAGACAAATAGAATTTGAAGATATTCCTGGCTGCTATCATATTTTTTTCTATGAAGCTGGGATTGAGTTCATCTTCAGAGAGCTAGAAGGGAACCATTTGTGAATATTAAAATACAATAGCTGTTGGTTAGTTACTTTGTATATGATGTTTCAAAACCTTAGCTAATACTGTTTCTAAAGTTAATATATTTTTGTATCCAAGTCTTTGAAATAACCCCTTATGAAATATATGTGTCATGCATATTGCATAAATCTCTTAATTGCTTTTGCCTAGTCCACAAATGCAAGGGTTATCTTTTATTCTTCAAATGTATGTAAAACAGTTAAGACAGGACTTTCCATTTTCCAGGTTCCTGCTATAATGTTATTCGGGTTCCTCCAGAAAAATCTGACCCTGGGGAGACAATCCATGGAGCCCAGGTGATATGTTCTATTGCTTCTGAGGAGAGGATGAGACCTTCTTACTACCACAGCTTTGGTGAGCCCAAAATAAGGCAAAATTTAATAAGGACCTGCCTTAATGTCACTGTTGCAGGGGGACTAGTTTTGGAAAGTACTATGTTAATATAGTTTATTAGAGTATGATGATAAGAGACAAAGGTTGCACTTTAATGTGAATTAAGTTCATTCTGTTTAGTCATGTATAGCTTATCCTAGCCAAATGACTGATGGAAAAGATATTTTAATACAAGCAATTATGAAAAAATTGTTAACAAGTTTTTCATTAATTGACTGCTCTAGGAAAGAGCTGTCAGTTTAGGAAGTTATCAGTTTCTTCTCAGCACCCTGAGTCAGGGAGAAATAGGCTGAGATTTAGTCACCCAACTGTAATTCCACTTAAGTTCTCTGTGGAGAACAGCCTTTCCCTCCAGCCCCCTGCTCCAGGATGAAACAATGAATAACCCCTAGTCATAGAAATCAGTTTCTTTGGTTTGTTTTGTATTGTGTTGTCTGTCATTGAATAAATACAAAGGAAAAATATACATTTTTGCATGTTTCCACAATAGAAGCTATGGGCTTTGGATGATTATGATGTGTCAATATAGATGCATCAGCTATAATAAATGGACCACTCTGGTGGAGGAAATTGATAAAGTGGGGGCTTAGAGTGTATGGGGATGGGGGTATATGGGAAATCTCTGTACTTTCCTCTTGGTTTTATTTTGAGCTTAAAATTGCTCCAAAAAATAAAGTCTTAATAAAAAAAAATTTGACTGTAAAAAATTGACAGAATTCAGTATTTTAGGCGACTTTAAAGACCACAAATAATAATCATACTAATATTTTTGGGAGGAAAATTCATATTCCACATAGATTGCTTCAGATGTTTTTCAGAATATTTATTTTCTGTATCCTAAACTTCTATAGCCTATCTGCTCCTGGATCCTTACCTCCGATGTAGATAGCAAAAGGATTAGGGAATAAAGCTCCAGATCATAAATGACACTTTAATATAATGCTTCCTAAACCAAAACAATTTGAAAAGGAAGAAAAAAAAGATTAAAAAATGCAAGTTGAGGGCATTTAACCCAAGCTATTCTAAGAAGTTCCTGTTTTTATGTAGGAACAGAAAATATATATAGCAAAGCTGAGAAATGACGAAGAATTATTTCTGATTGGCATTTGTTTAGGTCAGCAGTAATATGTCCAACTATTCTGACAAGTCCCCATAACTGTTGCATTTCAGACATTTTGCCAAATAACATTTTATTGTTTACTTGAACCATTTTAGGAATGACAAGGAACTACATCATCTTCATTGAACAGCCTCTAAAGATGAATTTGTGGAAAATTATCTCTTCTAAAATTCGAGGAAAGCCCTTTACAGATGGAATAAGCTGGGAACCCCAGTATAATACACGATTTCATGTGGTGGATAAGCATACTGGTCAGGTAGAGAATTTTGACTGTGAATAGTTGGACATGAAAGCAAATTTCCATATCACTGATTTTTGCCTTGTTGGGTATTTCTTGCATAAGCCACTCTTAATTAAAGGATATTGCCTTCTTCCATAAGGAGAGCTAGCTATTTATTAATTAATACAGTGAATTTTGCATATCAGAAAATTGTAGGAAATGGTTTTATCCTTTAAATTATCTGATTCAATTACAAAATGAATTGACAACAAAAATGACATCTAGGAAATCCTCTTAGCATGTTAGCATGAATTTTTCTGTATAATAATATTTGCTAAAGAGAATACTGTTTATGCAGAGGTCTTCTGTAACTTTTGCAATTATATTTTTATTAGTTGTTTTTATGACATTTTGGTATACAAGTGTGATAATACTACCAAAGTCCAAAGCATATTGGTTAAATGTCTTTCTATAGATGCCTGATAAATAGCATTATTATATTTGTCTACTTTTTAACCCCTTAAAGAAATAGTATCCTAAATTTACTGTAGTCCCACATATAATTTCATTACGAAAAAATCCCGTTTTAGCAATGAGAACATTTTCCAGAGGATTAGTCACTTAATTTATCATAAACTTTTTAATAGAAGTATTTTCTATTTAACCATGTACTAAAGAGTTTAGAATTTATTTATTCTTCAAAATATTGGGCCATATTTCATGAGAACTTTGAAGTTAGTTAAATCAGTTGATTGGTCTATATCAAATAGCCCCAGTTTATTGATTAATATGAGATGAGATGATTTTAAATCAAAACATATTTGCTTCTACATTCCAAATTCTGTTTTTTATACCTACCAGTCCTATTACTTAAAGGGGGAGAAATCTTAACTTGAGCTTTGTCGATCTGTACCTTAAAGGAAATAAAATCTCTCTTTCTCATTGTCTGTGTTCCTGCAGCTTCTTCCAGGGATGTACTACAGTAAACCTTCTTTTACTTTTCACCAAATCAATGCCTATGAGGACCAGGGCTGTGTTGTCATTGATTTGTGCTGTTACGATGATGGAAGAATTTTAGAAGTCTACCAACTACAGAATCTTAGGAAAACTGGGAAAGAGCTTGACCAGGTAGAATTCTCTGATTTGTCAAGAGTAGTCAAAATAATTTTGCTCTAGCCAAGTTCTGGCTTTGGGCTTGGAAGTTGCAGTTTCTCTTGCCTCTTTGGCAAATAAAGAGGGAGAATGGTTTTAAAGCATTGAAAACACAAGTTTGTAATTTATTTATTTAATACTTCAAAATAATTCAGAATATGAACTTAATGCCTAATAAATAAAAATTATATTAAAGAAAGCAAAGAAATATATTTTGAAACACTTGTGATTAGTTCCTTATTACCCTTGAGCACTAAACATAACATTTCTTAGAAGGGATAGTAAAATGGTAAATAAAGCAGAACTATAATATTAATTCTTCAATAAAAGAAAATGTCTTAGTTCCTCAGCTTGAAGGGATTCATTTTTTCCTGATAATCAATCTAAGGCAAAATTTTTCCTTGGATTATGTAATGAAAATTGTTTTCTGCTGTAGTTTTATTTTTAAATTTTTTGAAAACATTACTTTTAAAGTTTACTTACATTTACTTAGCTTACTTATGTTATTATATCTGTATGGTAGGTCTTGATATCTTGGTGTTTACATTATAAGTCCTTTAGTTCCTTTCTATTTAAAGATTGCCTCAGTTTTTGTTGTTTTGTTATTTCCATAAGTTTTAGAATCAACTTATTAGTTTTTGTAAAAGCAAACAAGCAAACAAACAAAAAAACCCATGGTTGGGATCATATTGTATGATCTATATAGATTAATTTAGGCATACTGACATCTTTACAATAATGAGAAATATTGAGTCTTCCAACTCACGAACAGGGACTATCCATTTATTATACCTCTCCATTTATTTTACTCTTTTAAAATTTCTTTTTGAAAAGTTACCTTTACATTAACAAAATTTATTCTTTCTATTTCTTTGACTGTGCTGGATCTTCTGGGCTTTCTCTAATTGTGGTGAGCAGGGTCTGCTCTTCACTGGGGGGCCCTGGCTTCTCACTTGTTGCAGGGCATGGGTTCTGGGCGCATAGGCTTCAGTAGCTGTGGCACATGGGCTCAGTAATCATGGCTCGCAGGCCCTAGAGAGCGCAGGCTTTAGTAGCTGCGGTGTGCTGGCTTTAGCAGCTCCTCAGCATGTGGAATCTTCCTGGATCAGGGATTGAACTGTATCCCCTGCAGTGGCAGGCAGATACTTGCCCATTGTACCACTAGGAAAGTCCTGAATCTTTTAAAATTTCTTGAAGTAATGTTCATAGTTTTCAGTGTGAGGATATTACATGTCTTTGGTTAAATTTATCATTAGGCAGTTAGAATGTTTTGAAACTGTTGTAAATGGTATCTTTAAAACTTTCATTTTGTTTTTGATGGTATGTAGACATGAAGTTGATTTTGTATGTTAATCTCATATTTAGAGATCTTGCTAAATTCACTTGTTAGTTTGATCTGTAAATTACTTTGGATTTTCTATGTATACACTCATATTATCTGAAAATGATGAGTTTTCTTTCTTTCCAATTCTTATGCATTTTCTTTTTTTCTTCTTTTCTTACTGTACTAGTTAAGACTTTAAGTTGAAAAGAAGTGCTGATACCAGTAATTATTTTCCCACCTCATTTGGAAAATGTTTAATAAATCACCACTAAGTATGAAATTGCTGCAGGTATTTTATAGATACCTTTATTAGATTATCTTAATGGTACCTTTAGATAAACAGATGTGGTCCAGTATATCAGTATTTTCCTTTATGAGTAATACATTGTGAATCCTTTTTTGGACATCTTCCTATGCCAAGGTCATATATTTTATGTTATCTTCTAGAAGAATTTTTAATTCTAAAAATTAAGTATCTATATATATTTATATTGTTTCTGGACTTCATTTTTTAGCATATCATAATTAGCTATTTATTCCATTTTATTTCTCTCTCTCTCTCCTGTACACTTGAACTTTCTTTTGGCTGAAAGGCATGGTAAGCTGTTATCATGCTCAGTGGAAAAAAATCCGTTTTTTTTTTTTACATATAATCTATCCTTTTTATATCTTTTCCCATTTAGGTTATTAAGCAATATTGAGCAGTAGGTCCTTGTTGGTTATCTATTTTAAATATGGTAGTCTGTTTATGTTGATCTTAAACTCCCAGTTTATCCCCTCTTTCCCCTGTGTAAACCATATATGCTAATTGCTTCAGTCATGTCTGACTCTGCAACCCATGGACTATAGACTGCCAGGCTTCTCTGTCCATGAACACTGGAGTAGGTTGCCATGCCCTCCTCCAGGGGATCTTCTGGACCCAGGGACCAAATCTGCATCTCTTACGTCTCCTGCATTGACTGGCGTGTTCTCTACCACTAGTGCCACTTGGCAGGCCCCTTGTAAACCATAAGTTTGTTTTCTGGGTCTGCAAGTCTGTTCTGTTTTATAAATAAGTTCATTTGTATCCTATTTTTTAGATTCCACATATAAGTAATATCTTGTGATATTTGCTTTATCTGATTTACTTCACTTAGTATGATAATCTCTATCCATGTTGCTGCAAATGGTATTATTTCATTCTTTTTAATGGCTGAATAATATTCCATTGCATATATGTTACACATCTTTATCCATTCTTCTGTTGATGGACATTTAGGCTGCTTCCATATCTTGGCTGGGGCTTCTCTGGTGGCTCAGATGGAAGAGAATCTGCCTTCAGTGCAGGAGACCCAGGTTTGATGTCTGGGTCGGGAATATCCCCTGGAGAAGGGAATGGCTCCCCACTCCAGTATTCTTGCCTGGAGAATTCCTTTACAGAAGAGCCTGGCAGGCTACAGTCCATAGGACTGCAAAGAGTCAGACACAACTGAGTGACTAATGCTATCACACTTCATGTCTTGACTTTAATTTGTAAACAGTGCTGCAGTGAACATTGGAATGCATATATCCTTTTGGACTGTGGTTTTTGTTTTTTGTTTTTTTTTTCCCTTCTGGATATATTCCCAGGGATTGCAAGATCATATGGTAGCTCTATTTTTGGTTTTTTAAGGAACTTCCATACCATTCTCCATAGTGGCTATACCAATTTACATTCCCACCAACAGTGTAGGAGGGTTCCCTTTTCTCCACACCCTGTCCAGAATTTCTTGTTTATAGTCTTTTGGATAATGGCCGTTTAGAGTGATGTGAGGAGATATCTCATTGTAGTTTTAGTTTGTATTTCTCTAATAATTTGTGATGTTGAGCATTGTTTCATGTATCTCTTGGCCATCTGTATATCTTATTTCTTTTTTTATTTTTTAAGTTATGAAAGTATGACAACACATTTATAAGAGACTTGGAAAATACAGAACAAGGTTACAATATACTCCCACTATATGTTACAATTATCTTTTAAAGTAGATAAATTAAGATTTTTAGTTGGAGTTTCAATATCAAACTCTCAAAAATTAATAGAATGACTAAAGAGAAAAGTGGGATGATATAGTATACCTGAAAATCAGTATGAACCAATTCAACATAATTAAGATTTTCACACAACAGTAGGAGACAAATTCTATTCTATTCTATTCAAGTACCCATAGACTATAAACAAGGAGACACTGGAACATATCCAGGGACATAAAACAAGGTGCAAAAATTTTGTCATCTAAAGTTATTGAAATCATACAGAATCTGTTCTCTTATCACTGTTATACTGGAAATCAATATCAAAAGATATTTGAAGATAACCCATATATTTTCAAGTGCAATGTGACATTTCCCAAGAGAGAACTTTGACTTAGTCATTGAAAGTCTCAATAAAATTAAAAGACTGAAAAACACAGAGGGTGATTGTAGAGAAGAAAGTATTTAAATGAGAAATTAATATCAAAATGACAGATCAATATCAAAGATACTTTAAAATTGCAATGTATTTGGAAATTAAATGTCTACTTTTAAATGATGGGTGTATCTAAGAAGTCATAACAAGGAAAATTAGAAAATATTTGTAACAGCATAAAAATGAAAAGAGAATTTATCAGAATTTGTTGAATGCAGCTGAAGCTGCTCAGTGCAATTAAATACAGTGTGGAGTCTTGAGTAAGGTATAAAAACAAACAATGGACACTAGAATAAAATTTTGTGAAATTTGAACAAAATTTGTACTTCAGTTAATAACTATGGTTGTTCAATTGCTAAGTTGTGTCCAACTCTTTGTGACCCCATGGACTGCAGCGTGTCAGGTCTTGTCCTTCACTATCTCCTGGAGTTTGCTCAAATCCATGTTGATTGAGTCGGTGTTGCTATCTAACCCTGCTTCCCTCTCCTCCCTTTGCTTTCAATATTTCCAGTATTGAGGCCTTTTCCCGTGAGTTGGCTTTTCTCATTAGGTGGTCAAAGAATTGGAGCTCAGTTTCAGCACCAGTCCTTCCAATGAATATTTAGGGTTGATTTCCTTTAGGATTGACTGGTTTGATCTCCTTGCAGTCCAAAGGACTCTCAAGAGTTTTCTCCAGTATCACAATTCAAAAACATCAGTTCTGTGCTCAGTCTTTGTGGTCCAACTCTCACATTTGTATATGACTACTGGAAAATCCATAGCTTTGACTATATGGACCTTTGTCAGCAAAGTGATCTCTTTGCTTTTTAATACACTGTCTAGATTTGTCATAGCTTTCCTTCCAAGGAGCAAATTTTTTAAATTTCAGACTACAGTCACCATCAGCAATGATTTTGGATCCCAAGAAAATAAAAGCTGTTACTGTTTGCACTTTTCCCTCTTCTATGTGCCAAGAAGTAATGCAATGATCTTAATTCTTTGAATGCTGAGTCCTAAGCCAGCTTTTTCACTCTCCTCTTTCACTCTCATCAAGAAGCTCTTTAGTTCCTCTTCACTTTCTGCTGTTAAGAGTGGTATCTGCATAACTGAGCTTGTTGATATTTCTCCCAACAATCTTGATTCCAGCTTTTAATTCATTCAGTCTGGTATTTCACATGATGTGTTCTGTATAGAAGTTAAATGAACAGGGTGACAATACACAATCCTGACATACTCCTTTACCAATTTTGAACCAGTTCATTGTCCCATGTCCAATTTTAGCTGTTACTTCTTGACCCACATACATATTTCTCAGGAGACAGGTAAGGTGATCTGGTATTTGCATCTCTTAAGAATTTTCCACAGTTTGTTGTGATCCATACAGTCAAAGGCTTCTGCATAGTTGATGAAGCATAAGTAGATGTTTTCTGGAATTCCCTTACTTTCTTTATGATCCAACAAACATTGGCAATTTGCTATCTATCATATGTTAATCTCCTGTTTTTTTTTTCAGCACAGTATTTCTTAATTTTCTCAGAATTGCATTAGAAGTTTCAAGCCTCATTCAAAAGGTTTTTATTTTATTTTTTTATTATTTTTTTTTGAGAAAGCCAATTTTATTATCATTACCACCCAGCTTATTTGTGCTGGATTATGTACCAAATGGCCAGATCTTCTAAAGAACATCTACATAACATTTCTTTCATGTTTCAAGAGATGAAAATAACTGTACAAGGTTAAGTACAAAAGGTACACAAGACAGCGGACACCAAAAATTCATGTATGAGATATTTATCCCACCTGCAGCTTTTATATATTTGAAAAGTAGAATTCATGAACTAAAAAATATTGTCCTTCTATAGTCCTGTCAAGTTTAATGGAAGTGGGTTTAACCTGATTACAACACTAACACCAGTATCACTGATCTGATATTTACAAAAAAATCATATTTTTCAATAAATTAAAGTCAGTGCAACACCCATGCAAGCTAGAATGCTAGCTCTTCGGTGAACAAGGACCTGACATCAGAACCAGAAGTCTATAAAAGTCCCAAATATAAAGTGTGATCTTCTTCAAACTGCATCCATTCCTCGCATTGATGATGTGAAACCCATTCCTCTCTGTGTGTGGGTTTGTGATCTTGCCATTTCATACTGAGCATCTAGATTTCTAAACACTTCTTCCTGCTGTTTCAGTGTCTTGTAACGTTCCTCATCAACAGAGCTACATCCAGCTTCATCTTCACTCTTAATACCCATTAATTTCCTAAATTTGACGTTTTGGTCCTTGTTTCCAAAATTCAATTTCTCCCATATTTCAGCAGACTGGGATTTGTCTCCTTCTTTCTTGCATTGCCATAGCATTTTCCTTTTTTTCTCTTGTTCAGCAAATTTCATTGGATTCACAGCTGCTGGGTTGTAATAGCTAGGTACAGCTATTCCGGTCTCTGCCAAAGCTTTTGCCTGCAAGGCTGCCATCTGAGCTGCCATAGCTATCTGAGAAGTTACTTGTGTTCCTGACGCCAAGAGGGCAGCAACATTGAGAACAGAACCTCCAGTAGCGGCAGCTGCTGCAACTATTTCCTGTTGTTTTTGTTTTTCAACCATTTCCTTTCCTCTCTGTTCTTGTAATTTCTTTGCCCTTTCCAACCTCCTAGCTAAAGCTTCTTGGGCATCCATTGCTGTGTTTCTGCCTCTAAAGGGAGGTGGACTAGGAGTTCGGCTTAAACTTCTGCTAAATCTTCTTGGTCTTTCAGTTCTCTTCTTCCTATCTCGACTTCTACTCCTTGTCCTACTCCTGCTTCTACTCCTATGCCTGTGTCTTGATCTTGAGTGGGAACGAGACCGGATCCGACGTTTTCTTCCCCTGCTTCTGAATCGTGATTTCTTCCTCCCTCTGCTTCTGGATCTTAACTTCTTCCTGTCCCCACTCCTGGATCTTGACTTCTTCCGCTCTCTGCTTCTACTACGATGACGCCTTTCACGAGACCTAGACCTTGAGTGACTTCTGAATTTAGCTGCTCTCTTCCTTTATCAGAAGAATGTTCTTTGTCATTATGTTCCTCAGACTTGTGTTTCTTAGACGACTTCTCTTTGGATTCATGTCTTCTTGCCTCTTTGCTTCTGCTCCGGCTCCTGTGTTTTCTTCCTTCATTATCTGACTTTTGTTTTCTTTCTCTTGACCTTGACCGTGATCTTGAATAATGATGTTTTGAGGCTCTAGGAGAAACAGCTACATCAGACTGCTCTTTTTTCTTATCTGTATCTAGGGATGTTTTTTCTGGGGCTAGTCCATCTCGTTCTGCGTCACTAGCCGCCATAGTCCAGAGTCTTGGCCGCAACGGCGGCGCCTCCACTCGCCGCTTTCCACAGTACTGGCCGCTTCGATGCTTCGCCACAGACTGAATAGCTCGCGCCAGAGACCCGGATGGCACAAAGGGGAAAAGGCCCGGCGCACAGCACAGCTTGCTGGGAGGACCAAAAGTTTTTTAAATCACTAAGATAATAAGTTTTCTAGACTTTTAGCAGTGATACCAGATTCCAGAATGAATGGAACTATATCAAAGTACTGAACAAATATAAATGATAAATCTAGCATTCTATTCATACTTAGTCAAACAGCTGAAATCAAGATGTCATAAATTTTTAGCTAGGCCAAAATTCATGTTTTCTTATATATATATATATTATATTATATTATACATATATATGTGTACATATATATATATACACACACAAAACCTTTATAAATATATGTGTATATATATGTATATATGTATACCAAAGCTTTTAAACTGCACTTGATGAAAGTTTGAAAAAGAACAACAAAAGGAGAGAGCTGGAGAAGTAGGAAAACATAAACTAAATGAAATGGGAGCACTGAATATGAAATAGAAAAGTGAAACAAACTAGATAAAAGTAAAAGATCATCATATAGTCCAGTTGTTTTTAAACATGGCTGCTCATTAGAATCATATCTGGAGCTTTGGAGAGAGAAACAACACCTGGGTATTTGTATTTTTCAAAAAATTCCAATATTTTGCATCTGGTTATGCATCTGTATTTTAAAAAGTGATTATAGGTTTTTCTATTAAATGGTAGTTTCAGTAATACAGAATTCTATTATTTTCTGTTGACCAATCATGATACAATGGTATTAAATAATAGTTACATAATGGAAAAGATGTTATCAGTTTTCACAAACAATAGCCAGACAAAAAATAAAGGATAATTATAATTGCAAGTCATAATGGAAATATGATTAACCTAACAATATTACATACAATTTGAGGGGTTAACTAGAGTGATGTGGTAAGAGGAAGTGCATACATGCGCATGTTTTCATCTGCCCAGCCAGTCTATGTCTTTTGGTTGGTGCATGTAATCCATTTACATTTAAGATACTTATTGATGTACATGCTCCTATTACCAATCTCTTAATTGTTTGGGTTTATTTTTTGTAGGCCTTTTCCTTCTCTTGTGTTTCCTGCCGAGAGAAGTTCCTATAGCATTTGTTATAAAGTTGGTTTGGTGGTGCTGAATTCTCTCACCTTTTTCTTGTCTGGAAACTTTTCATTTCTACATCAAATCTGAATGAGAGTCTTGTTGGGTAGAGTATACTCGGTTGTAGGTTCTTTGCTTTCATCACTCTAAATGTATCATGCCATCTCCTTCTGGGTTGTAGAGCTTTTTCCTACAAGCCAGATTTGAGAAATCAGTTGATAACCTGATGGGAGGGCCCTTATATGTTATTTGTCGTTCTTCCCTTGTTGCCTTTAATATTTTATCTTTGTCTTTAAATTTTGTCAGTTCAGTTCAGTTCAGTCGCTCAGTCATGTCCGACTCTTTGCGACCCCATGAACCGCAGCACGCCAGGCCTCCCTGTCCATCACCAACTCCCAGAGTCCACCCAAACCCATGTCCATTGAGTCGGTGATGCCATCGAACCATCTCATCCTCTGTCGTCCCCTTCTCCTCCTGTCCTCAATCTTTCCCAGCATCAGGGTCTTTTCCAATTTGTCAGTTCAATTACTATGTGTCTCAGTGTATTCCTTCTGGGGTTTATCCTGCCTGGAACTCTCTGTACTTCCTGGACTTGGTTGACTATTTACTTTCCCATGTAAGGGAAGTTTTCAACTTTTATCTCTTCAAATATTTTCTTGAGTCCTTTCTCTCTCTCTTCTCCTTCTGGTGCCCCTCTAACTCAAATGTTGGGGCATTTAATGTTGTCCTAGAGGTCTCTTAGGCTGTCTTCTTTTTTTTTTCATTCTTTTTCCTATATTCTGTTTTGTGGCAGTGATTACCACCATTCTGTCTTCCAGGTCACTTATCTGTTTTTCTGTTTCAGTTATTCTGCTATTGATTTCTTCTAGTGTGTTGTTCATCTCTGTCTGTTTGTTCTTTAGTTCTTCTACATCTTTGGTAAACATTTCTTGCATCTTCTCCGTTCTTTTTCTGAGATTCTATATCATTTTCATTAGCATTATTCTGAATTCTTTTTCTGAAGGTTTGCCCATCTCCACTTCATTTAATTATTTCTCTGGGGTTTATCTTGTCCGTTCATCTTGGACATAACCCTCTGCTTTTTCATTTTGATTAACTTTCTGTATTGTGGTTTTCATTCTAGCTGCTGTGGGATTGTGGTTCTTCTTGCTTCTTCTCTCTGCCCTCTGGTGTGAGGTGATATCTCATTGTAGTTTTGATTTTCATTTCTCTAATAATGAGCAATGTTGAATGTCTTTTCATGTGTTTATTCACCATCTGTTTGCTTTTGAGAAATGCCTGTTTAGGTCTTTTGCCCACTTTTTGATTGAGTTGTTTGTTTTTCTGGTATTGAGTTGCATGAACTGCTTGTATATTTTGGAGATTAACCCTTTGTTACTTGTTTCCTTTGCTACTATTTTCCCCCATTCTGAGGGTTGTCTTTTGACCTTGTGTATAGTTTTCTTTGCTGATTTAGCACAATATATTATATTGATAAAGTAGTTCTTTTAATTCTTTCCGGACAATGCAGGGAGTCTGGAACACTTTAACTCCATTTATTATATTCCTGATTTATATGCTACTGTTCATTATATATTTTAATTCTCTCTTTATATAACCCCTGTAAAGCATTATTATCAATGTTGTTTTATGTAAACATAATTATCCATACTATCCATTTACCTACATCAGTACCTTCTCTTGCTCTTAATTCCTTCTTGCCTCTCTGAGCGTCCATGTAGTATCATTGTCTTTCTGATTGAAGAACATCTTTTACTATCTTCTTTAGTTCAGATATGCTGATATGGTGATGAAATCTCTATTTTTGTTTGTCAGAAAAATCTCTTTATTATACCTTCTTTCTTGAAAGATGTTTTCATTAGATAAAGAATCTAGGTTTTTGTTTTCTTTCAACACTGTAAAGATATCATTTTATTGTCTTCTGATTGCTGTTGAGAAATCAGTTGTCAGTTAAAAACTTTGCTCCTTTGAAGTTGATCCATTATCCCCCAAAGATTTTCTCTGATTTTCTGAAGTTAGTACTATGATATTTTTCAATATGATTTACTTTTGATTTATTTTCTTTTTTCTTAAGGATTTTTGAATCTATGGTTTGCTGTCTTTCATTAGCTTTGAAAAATTTAACCCATTATTTTTTCAAATATTGCATCTGATAAATCTTTTCTCTCTTTTTTTTCTGGGACTAGAATACACATATGATACCCCTTTTCACTATAGCTCTCTGTTGCTTATGTTATTTTTTAGTATCTTCCATCCTTTGCTCTCTCTAAGTATCTTGCTTTGGATATTTTCTTCTTATCTTACCATTCAAACTTTCTTTCTTCAGCTGTATGTATCCTGCTCTTAAATCTAGGCACTATGGTCTTAAACTCATTGCTTTTTTCAGTTCTAGAATTTTGATTACCTTCTCTTTTATAATTTGTGATTCTCTGCTATAACCCCAGTTTAAAATAATTTCCTCCAATGTATTCAGAATAGTTAAAGTTTGATAACTCTATTATCTGGATCCCTTGTGGTTCAGTTTGTATCATCTATTGCTTTTTTTTTTCTTTAAATTATACTTTGCTGTCTTCCTAAGTGCTGACTAAGTTTTATTCTACACAGAATATTGTGTTTGAAAAATTTTAGGAGGAATATTTGGAGACTCTGTTGTCTTCCTTCAGAAAAGATTTTCATTTTTTTTCTGGCATATGGCTAAGGTACATTATCAATTGCAGACATTCTTAATCTAGTTATAAAGACTGAGATAATTTGAAACAGGACACAGTTGCTGCAAGAGCTGGACTGTTTTTGCTTATTCTTACTCCTAGGGTACAGCCTAAGGGGTCCTGACCGAAAGAGCTAGAGGTTTATCAAGACTTTCCCTTCTTGAAGACTTTGAACTACAACTTTTGTCCCTCAAGCTTTTCAAAACTATCAAAATCTCTTCTCATTAGGGTCAAGTGATGAGGGAGTTGATGTGGCAATATCCTCATAAAAGCGTAACATGAAGGATCCTGGTAGTGATGGAACTGTTCTGTATCTTGAGTGTGGTGGTGATCATATACGTTTACATATGATAAAATTGCATAAAACACACACACTCACAAAACACACATAAATGAATGCATGTTAAATGGATAAAATCTGAATAATGCTGGTGGATTATATCCATGTAAGTTTCCCGGTTGTGATATTGTAGTGTAGTTATGTAAGAGGTCATCATTGTTGAGACTTCATGAAGGATATGTGAGACATCTCTTCATTGTTTCTTTTTTGTGTGGTTAAAGTATACATAACACAAAATTTACCATTTAACAATTTTATGTGTATAATTCAGTGACATTAAATATAGTAACAATGTTGTGCAACCAGAATCACTGTTCATTTTCAGAACTTTTTCATGATCCTAGATAGAGGCTCTGTACCCATTAAATAACAGCTCCCTATAACTTCCCTCTCCCAAGGTTGTGGTAGCCTTTATCCTACTTTCTGTTTCTATAAATTTGTCTATTTTATGTACCTCATATAAATGGAATCATATAATATTTCTTCTGTTGTGTCTGGCTTACATTTTTTCATGGGTCACTCATGCTGTAACATGTATCAGAATCTCAGTCCTTTAAAAGGTTTAATAATATTCCTTGTATGTAGATACTCATTTTGTTTATTCATCTGTTCAGGGACATGTGGGTTGTTTTCAGCTTTTGGTTATTATGAATAATGCTGTTATGAACATTGGTGTACAAGTATCTGTGTGAGTCCTTGTTTTCAGTTCTTTTTGGTGTATACCTAGAAGGGAATTGCTAGATCATATAATTCTATTTTCTAACTGTTTGAGGAACTGCCAGATTGTTTTTAACAGCAAATGCACCATTTTACATTCCCACCAGCAATGTAGAAAAGTTCCACTTTCCTTATATTCTCAAACCACAAACACTTGTGGTTTCTGTTTTTGTTTTTTCTTGATAATAGCCATCCTAATGAGTGTGAAGTATTGTCATTTTGCTTTGTATTTCCCAATGACTATTATGTTCATCATCTTTTCCTATTCACCATTTGCATATCTTGGTGAAATGTCTAGGTAAAATGTCCTTTGCCCATTTTAAAATCAGTTTTTTTTTGGTATTGTTTCTTACAGCTGCATATGGGTCTGCAATAATCTCAGAATGAAAGTTTTTAATAAAGTTTAATAAAACATGTTTCTGTTTTCTTAGCCTTTCAACTGCCTCTTCTTAAAAGTAGCTGATGTCCTTAGTGGAAATTTGCCTCCAATATGTAGTTTCTATCTGTGGGTTTCCTTTTCTTTCCAAATCTATGCTCTATCATTCTTTGTTGGCTTTTTAGCTCACCAGTGCCTTCAAACAACTGTTTTAACCATTTTGTCCAGCTTTTCTATCTGTTATCAATGAAATGGTTGATCCATGCTGCCTAATTCACCACTATTGGAACTCTCTTTTTGTTCACCTTTGGTTTTGCAAAAGACCAAACATGTTTAAATAAATTTAAAAGTAAATTTTTAAAAGCTAATTCTTTTTAAAAATTATTTATTTGGCTGCACTAGCTCTTAGCTGTGGCATGTGGGATCTTTGCTCTTCGTTGTAGCATGCATGATCTTTAGTTGCGGCATGTAAACTCTTAGTGTGGCATGTGGGCTCTAGTTCCCTGACCAGGGATCAAACCTGGAACTCTTGCTTTGGGAGCGTGGATTATTAGCCACTGGACCACCAGGGGAGTCCTCAAAGCTAATTCTTTATGAAGCTTAAAAACAACACTAAATCTTTACTTAGCAGGAGTATTGAAAACACTTCTGCATGTTACATAGATAATATGGACTAGGTATATAGGATAAAATGATACAGTTTATTCCCCATCTTAGAGTATTTCCAGAGAGGAAGATGTGCTTAAACCATTCTTATTGTCAGAAAAGACACTTATTTTATTAGGGGCTCCTGCTTAAACATCATCTCTGCAGAGCGGCTGTGTTGAGGGGCCCCCAAAACTGTTCTTTGTTTTGATGATTCACTAGGAGGGCTCATAGGTCCCAGAAAAATCAACAGAAAGGAAAGATACATGGTTTAGAGGAAGTTTAGAGGAAACCAGGGGCATGCTTCCAAGAGCCCTCTCCTAGGACTTGCCTAATTGCTCCAGCAACTGATTGTGACATGTGTGAAATGCTGCCTGCCAGGGAAGACCACCCAAGCTGGTTGCCCAGAGTGTTTGTTGGGGATCAGCACATAAGCACAAGCCCCTACATGAGTAATTTCAATCATTGAAGTTCCAGAGCCCCATAGAGAAAGACCAAACCTGAGGAAGGAAGCACCCATTTTACCCTCAATCCCGCACCCTTCAGTGTGTTTCTTAATGGCACTTAGCACTATCTGACTTGAGTGTATAATCATTATTTATTTGATACTACTTAAGTGGCATATATTTTATTTCTTATCTATTACCATTCTTCCTCCACTAGAATATAAGGCTTGAAACTGTTTTGTATTCCCAGTGTCTAAAACAATGCTTGGTCTAGAGAAGGTACTCAACTGATGTTTGATGAGTAAATGAATGAATGAAAATGATTGTTTATGCAGTTACTTAGAAATGCCAATAATGTTGACTGGATCTCAATGATTGGGATGTGCTGTTATTCTATGCATGACAGTTTTCTCATCTGTTTACTTCTCTCTCCTAAACAGGTCTATAATTCAGTAGCCAGATCTTTCCCTCGACGGTTTGTTTTGCCCTTACATGTCAATTTGAATGCCCCTGAGGGAGAGAACCTCAGCCCATTGTCCTATTCTTCAGCGAGTGCTGTGAAACAGGCTGATGGAAAGGTATGCTATGAATGGACATTAGCCTAAGACTTTGACCCTCAGCAGTGTTTCTTTATCCACTAGTAAAGTAGTGTGACTATGTAGTGTAGCTGTTCTCCACAGTGTTTGGTGCCTAGTAAGTTTCATAACATTCAGCTGAGCTGGGTAGGATCATGGAGCATGGCTTGCAAAAGAGTTGCAGAATTCTAGGTGGGAGTGAGCACTGTATTTACCTATCCCTTTTGTGTCTTGAAACAGGTTTATACAGCTTTAAAATTGTCATAACATGTCTAAGTATTTAAGATTGGCACTGCCCATTCCCACCTTTTAGATGGTTTGTGCTTACATATCACTATATAGCTATCAGTGTCTCAGCTCTAGTAAAATAAAAACCCATGTCCACCTCCTATGCCATTTGACAACTTAATCACAAAACCCAATAATCTTTTGTGTCCTTACACATGATGAAAAGAGAAACAATGTTTTAAAAAATGATGTAGAACCTCAATTCTCAAGCCCTGTCACAAACTTTTATATGGTGTTAGCCCCCACACTGACCTGAAGAAAGTATGAATTAAGCAATCAGTTCTTTTGTGCCCTCTTTTAGATTTGGTACTCTTATGAAAATCTATATCCTGAGGACCTAGAAGAGGAAGGAGGTATTGAATTTCCCCAGATCAACTATGGCCAATTCAGTGGCAAAAAGTATCAGTTCTTCTATGGCTGTGGCTTCCGGCATCTGGTGGGTGATTCTCTGATCAAGGTCGACGTGGTGAACAAGACGCTGATGGTAATGAAATTCCGTTTCCTTTTCTGAATTCTTTAAAGACATGTTCTGCCCTTTGAATTAATTCCTGTTTTGTTTAAGGTAGATCTTGAGATTTTAAAGCAGCTACTTCCTTTTTTTTTTTTTAAAGACTTTTTATTTTATATTGGAATACAGCCCATTAACAATGTTGTGAGTTTTAGGTGGACAGCAAGGGCACTCAGCCATACATATACATGTATCCATTCTCTCTCAAGTTCCCCTCCCATCCAAGCTGTCACCTAATATTGAGCAGAGTTTCTTGTACTAACATTAGGACCTTGTTGGTTGTCCATTTAATTGTAGCAGTGTGCACATGTCGATCCCAAACACCCTAACTCTCCCTTTCTCCCATTCTTTCCCCAACAATCATGTTTGTTCTCTAAGTCTGTGAGTCTGTTTCTGTTTCATAAATAAGCTCATTTGTATAATTTCTTTTTTGATTCCACATACAAGGAATGTCAAATGATATTTCTCCTCTCTCTGACTTACTTCACTCAGTATGACAATCTCTAGGTTCGTCCATGTTGCTCAAATGGCAGCCACTTACTTCTATGAAATATGAGGATCATGGAATTAGGGGTATGTTCCCTCTAGGGAATCTAAATGAACCACAAGCCCAGAAAAATAATTCTATGCTTGATGGTATTTTGAGGGAAATTGTGGGACACCTCTAATTCCGGTTGATGGGAAATTATAATTATACAACTTGTGTTTGATGATGATGGAATTTGCCACTGCAAAGGCTCCCTCTCCTATATTCAATTCAGTAAGCCTGATTCTTCCACTGTTGGACTGTTGTATTGGAAGCCAGATTCATGCTGGGACTGACAAAAGCTATAGAACACTTCCAGTTCATAACCAGTCTTCTATCAAACACTCTTTTGGGGACTTGCAGGTTTGGAGAGAAGATGGCTTTTATCCTTCCGAACCTGTTTTTGTTCCGGTACCAGGAGCCAATAAAGAAGATGATGGGGTCATTCTTTCTGTGGTGATCACCCCGAACCAGGTAAATGTATTTCCACCACCAGTCAGAAAGAAAAGTAGCACTGGGCCCTTTGAGGGTTATATTTATTGATGCTGTTGATGGTTTATTTTGATTCCAGTTTGACACCTTCTCCCTTTTGTTTCTCTCTTTATTATTTAGATACCCTTTTATCCTAATCAGTACCTTATTACAGTTTTAAAGTTCTACTTGTAGAATCATAATAATTTACATTTGGATAGGAATTTATTTATAAACTACTTTCATACATATTATCTTATTTAGTCATCAAGACAGCTTTGTGGGTATCATTTTACACATGTTGAATTTGTAACCTAAGGAAGTTGAAAGAGACTTGCATCAGATCTTATAGTTGTAAAGCCAGTATTTAAATCCCAGTCTTCTGAATTCTAGTCTAATATTTTATACCACCATCTGTGCTGCCAATTTTAATTGGGAGACCGAAAAATCTAATGTGATAGCCTCTGAGCTAGTGTCTCAATAATCTTGATATCTATTTTCTTGTCGCGGGAAGCCTTGTGGCTGATAGATTCACTTGGAGTTTCAACTTTGATCATTTATAAGTAGCGGCCTAGGGACAGGATTCTGACGCTTTTTAAGGTTTTGGTGAGAAAAGTGTAATCAGTTAGTAATGTCTGCCATGGGCTTGGGACTTAGTCCTTATACAATGTGTTTGCTACTCCTGTAATTAGACCAGGGCAAATCTCAATCTGCCTTGCAACGTTACCTTTTGAACAGCTCCAGAACAACACAAAATGGAGGCATTTTATTTTGGAAGAAAGAATTTTTATATCTCTTAGGAGATGGAAAGGGGGCAGGTAGGAAGATCCTTAAACCCAAAGAGATTCTGTGAAGGTGATAAATATAAATGTAATTTCTTTGCTCTAGGTATCAACTTCTTCAGCCATAATTTCCTTTTTTTTTTGTTTAGTTCATCATTCTGCAAACACTTAGTGAATGAATCAGCAAGGCACTGTGCCCAGTGCTGGGAATGGATATGAAGATGAGAAAGATAGTCTCTCCCTTAGGAATTTTACAGCCCACCAGAGGAAACAGATTTCTGATAGAAACAAAGAGAATTTTCAGCATTGTCCTTCCTTTTCTAGAATGAAAGAAATTTTCTCCTTGTCTTGGATGCCAAGAACTTTGAAGAACTGGGCCGAGCCGAAGTGCCTGTGCAAATGCCGTATGGGTTCCATGGCACCTTTGTGAACATCTGATGGAACAGCCACAAGCTCTGATAACTAGGTTTGAATGAATGTGCTCGCTACATAAGAGAGAGCAAAAGTGTACCTTACCTTCCAAACAGTAGACATCTGCTTTTAAAATTTCTATTAAAAATTGAATTCATGAGATAATTATGGTGTTATATTTTCTTAGGGATCTTCTTTGAAAACCTTAAGCATTGATACAACTTTTAAAGAGAGTTTTAAATTTATATTTACTGGAAATATCTTATGGGCAATAAAGATACATGAAAGAAAAACTAGACCTGGATCAAAAACTAAAAATTGTCACCACCAGATAGATGGGTAACAGAGGTTCTCATACTTGGAAGAAGAAATAAAAATAAATCTAGCTAGTAGAATATGAATATAGGTCTGAAAAAGCCCCCCCCCCCCTTTTCCCCATCACAGCCTACCTGTTGCTTCTAAGTACTCACAGAGGATGTTAAAATGGCTACTTTTTCTGCTGTCCAAGCAGATGCCACTGCAGTTGAACCACCCACTACCACCTCCTATCCTGCCCCCAGCTCAGGCTTGGGAGGCTGTTGTTTTGAGGGATGTTGTTAAAATCAGGCATTTTTCCTAATCTTCAGGTGTCTGGTTCCTCAGAGATTCATGAAAAGTTGGTATTAGGTTGGTACAAAAGTAATTGCAGTTTCAGACCATAAATTTTAAATCATTATAACTAGGCTCAACACATCTTTATTAATCAAAATAGGAACCATTACAATCAACACATTTTTGCCAATGAGAAATAAGTGTAAAAACCCATGCTTCAGGATTCGATAAACTCTTAGAAAACATTTTCTGCCTCCTGCTGGTTGTGGAAGCATTTTCTCTGCAAAAAGTCGTCGAAATGCTTGAAGAAGTGGCAGTCGGTTGGCAAGAGGTCAGATGAATATGGTGGATGAGGCAAAACTTTGAAGCCCAATTCATTCAACTTTTGAAGCATTGGTTGTGTGACCTGCGGTCCAGCGTTGTCATGGAGAAGAATTTGGCCCTTTCTGTTGACCGATACTGACTGCAGACCTTGCAGTTTTTAGTGCATCTCACGGATTTGCTGAGCATACTCTCAGATATAATGGTTTCACTGGGATTCAGAAAACTGTAGTGGATCAGACAGGCAGCAGACTACCAAACAGTGACCATGACCTTTTTTTGGGTCAAGTTTGGCTTTGGGAAGTGCTTTGGAGCTTCTTCTTGCGCCAACCACTGAGCTGGTCATGATATGGGTTGTTATATAAAATTCACTTTTCATCACAAGTCACGATCTGATTGAGAAATGGCTTGTTGTTATTGCATAGAATAAGAGAAGACTATACTTCAAAATGACAATTTTTTTTTTTTAAATTTCTGGTCAGCTCATGAGGCACCCACTTATTGAACTTTTTCACCTTTCCAATTTGCTTCGAATGCCAAACAACTGTAGAATGGTTAACATTGAGTTCTTAAACAACTTCTTGTGTAGTTTTAAGAGGATCAACTTTGATGATTGCTCTCAATTTGTAATTGTCAATTTCTGATGGCCAGCTACAATGCTCCTCATCTTCGAGGCTCTTGTCTCCTTTGCAAAACTTCTTGAACCACCACTGCACTGTATGTTCGTTAGCAGTTCCAGGGCCAAATGTGTTGTTGATGTTGCAAGTTGTCTCTGCTGCTTTACTGCCCATTTTGGACTTGAATAAAAAATCCATTTGAATTTGCTTTTTATCTAACATCATTTCCCTAGTCTGAAATAAATAGAAAATAAACAAGTAATAAGTCATTAGCAAAAAACGTAAAGCAAGAAATGTGTATTAAAATGATGTATAACATAACCACATTTATTCAAAAATGTATTCCAATATAAAAAGGCAAAGTTCAGCAGTGCAAAACCACAATTACTTTTGAACCAACCTAATAGTTCTTCATTTAGTTGGGCAACAGGTGGCACTAGAGACCATATAATCTTTGCATTTCTAAAACCCATCAGTTTTTACCCCAGATCAGGTTAGATCTGTCACTTAAACCATATGCCCAAGTGCCTTGTTCTCTTTTCCTTCAGTTATGCTCCAAGCCCAGGCCAGTTACACTTTGCATGCTCCTTGTGCAAATTGAATGTTGCTGGAGGAACCCCCGCTTCCCCACAAACATGTAGTTTGGGGCAATGTGAACTCATTAGGCTCACTGTACAGTCCTGGACCAACATAGTTTCTTCTCAGTTTTCATTGAGGGTTATTATAAACATCACAAACCCTATTCACTTTAGCAGAGAGATGCATACACACAAATACCACATGTTGGGGTTTGTACTGTGGCAATGAAATAAAAGTTCTAGGTTTCGTGTCTGGGTTGGTGAGATACAGAACAACAACCATAGGTACAGAACGGCAAGAAGATGCCTAAACAGAACTTAATACAACAGACGTGGGCACTTAGAGGCTGAGATAGCCATAATAACATAAACCCCTTGATATTCACAGGAGTCTTTAAAAAGGCATTGTACTCCCCCAGACAAAACATGGAAGTTTTATCCAGATCTTATTTGGATCTGAAGGGTGAAGAAGACTACAGTTGACATCTGGGAGGTACATAGATGTATCTGATCATGTCTTTCTTCTCTTTATAAATCTTTACTCTGTCCTACTACACAAAGAGTGAATTTCAAACGTATGAAGATTAGCAGTATAAAAATAAGATTTTGGTCCAAAAATGCCTGGATTCCACCTTGGCCCTGCCATCAACACAGTTCTCGAAGGAGAAGACAAAACAGGATCAACAACATTTTATAGTCTAAGGGCGTATGGCTGGTAAACCTGTGCACAAAGTTCTGGAAATTAAATGACATATGACTTAGGCTTGGGACTTTCCTGGTAGCTCAGCTGGTAAAGCATCCACCTGCAAGGCAGGAGCCCCTGTTTGATCCCTGGGTCAGGATGATCTCCTGGAGAAGGGATAGGCTACCCACTCCAGTATTCTTGGGTTTCCCTGGTATCTCAGATGGTAAAGAATCTGCCTGCAGTGTGGGAGACCTGGGTTTGACCCTGGGTTGGGAAGATCCTCTGGAGGAGGGCATCGCAACCCACTCCAGTATTCTTGCCTGGAAAATCCCATGGACAGAGGAGCCTGGTGGGCTACAGTCTGTGGCATTGCAAAGAGTCAGACAGACTGAGTGACTAACCACAGGAAAGCATGACTGAGGCTCAAAGCCTATGGAGTGCCTCTTCCTTTCCATAAGTTCAACTCATAACTGGCCAGTGTCCAAAGACTCAGGGAAAGAAGTATGTGGTATACAAGTGAAGGGAAAAGGGATTAGGGTACAGCCTAGTGACCTTATTAATTCTGCAGACTATTTTCAAAAAAGCTATATTCTGAGGTACTGAGGGTTGAGATGTCAACATCTTTAACTTTGAGGACACAATTCAATTTGTAACAGGATGAATGCAAATTCATTATTGTATTTGAATACAATAGAAACTCACCACAGGGGTTTGTGCCCCAGTGAATTTGAGGGTGAAGTTGGTGAGTGTCTTCGTATAGAATTAGCTTCAATAAAAAAGAGCAAGAACTCTGCAAATACTGTGACATATTTTACTAAAGCAAATAAGTAAAGCAACTTCTCAGAAATTCTTTCTACCGTTTTACCTTTGTTTTGATTCCTTAAACTGTATTCAGAACAAGGGCAGTGTTAGAGGTTTGAGTGCTTATCTCCCATGCAGTCAACACCTGAGAAACATTTATATTATAATTGATCTTGGATAAATAATTCACTTATCTGGGTCTGTGTTCTCTTATCTGTGAAGTGAGAGGACTGAACTAGAGTGTGAATCTCTAGCTCAAAAATCTCTGGTTTATAATTATTTAAAGTTATTTTATTTCCAACCCAGTGGGGGAAAGGAAAAAAATATTTGAAAACGTGTGAAGAATATTTGCTGTATAATGATAATTTAATGCAGAACAAAGAGCATATATAGTTGGAGTCAGGAGGCATTTGAGAGAAACCATCACAGGGGCTTTAATTTCTGCCACGCCCATGATTTTATCTATCCTTTCCAGTGGGTAACTATTTAATGAAAGAATGAATTGAGGAAAGACATGACCTGGTCTGTAAATAATTTGAGTAGATGCAAGAAAACAAGATCTTTTCAACGCAAGAAAACAAGATCTTTTCACTCTGGAGATGTCTACAATGGACAGAGAATTGCTAATGTCTGTGTGTTTCTCAAGTGAACGTGCTTGCATTGTGACAACCTCGAGTGATAAATGGCTCCATGCATGCATGTGGATGATAAAGACAGCTTGAGCCGTCTCCTTAATATGACTCATTACAAATAGCCCAAAGGTAGTATTTCTGAAAGCCGCGTGATACCCCACGTGCCCTCAAATTTTGCTCCCTTTAAATAAACTATATTTAGGCTGGCCCTGGGACTCATCTCAGAATAAGCAGCAACTGGCGGTTTCTGTAACCCAGGGCTTTCTAGAAGAGAGTGGGAAGGACCTCGTTGAGCAGAGGCAACAGTGAAGGACACTAAGCCCCAACCACCTTATTCTGTCGCTCTGAGGCACGCCCACCTCTGAGTGCTTGCTATTCCAGATGAGGATGGTAAGGGACCTCGGTTAGGGCTTCCCAGGTGGCGCTAGTGGTAAAATGGTAAAGAACCCACTTGTCAATGCAGGAGACATAGAAGAGGCCGGTTTGATTCCTGAGTGGGGAAGATGCCCTGGAGGAGGGCATGGCAACCCACTCCAGTATCCTCGCCTGGAGAATCCCATGGACAGAGGAGCCTGGCAAGCTAAGGTCCACAGTGTCGCAGAGAGTCGGACCAGACGGAAGCGACTTGGTACGCACAAGGGCTATTAACGGCCTCCGGCCGGCAGAGGGAACCCAGCCGCAGCGAGAGGCAGAGAGAGTGTCTGCCGGGCGCCCGCCGCGTTGCGCCGCCGCGGAGCGGGGCTCCGCCCATCCCAGGCTGGCGGCGGGCCGAGGGGTGGGGACGCCGGCCGGGTCGGGGGCTTGCAGAGCCATGAACGGGGCAAGGTCGGGCCCTCGCCGGCGGGCGCGAGTGTCCCGCCTCGTCTCCTTCAGCGCGACCCACCGCCTGCACAGGTGGGGTGCGCCCTCCACAGGTGGTGGCGACAGGGCCGTGGAGCCCCGGGGCGACGGCCCGGGTGTGGGAGGAGCGGGGCTGCGGCGGATGAAAGGCTGGGTGCGCGCCGCGGCCTCCTTTGGCCGCCAAGCTTTCTTGTTGGCGTCACAGCAGTGGCCGCTGGAGTTGACCCGGTTCCCGCGGTCCCTGTGATGTTCAAGGGAGTTGAATTCGCCCAGGTTACTCAGTGCCAGGCACATCGTAAACGGGCAGAGCGTGCTAAGTCGCTTCCGTCGTGGTCTGAGTCTGCGACCCCATGGACTAGAGCCCGCCAGGCTCCTCTGTACATGGGGATTCTCCAGGCAAGAGTACTAGAGTGGGTGGCGATGCCCGTCTTCAGGGGATCTTCCCGACCCAGGGCTCGAACCTGGGTCTCCTGCATTTGCAGGAGATTCTTTACCACTAGTACCACCTGGGAAGCCCGAAACACTCAATACGTGTTAGCTACTATAATGTATCAAAAGCGTCGTCTTCCCTCGCTAATGTCGCTACAGCAGGGCGAGTTTTGTCCACTTGTTACTGAACAGAAAATGAACCTGGATGTTCACTTTCCCGAGATTAGAAGCACAGTTGGGGTTCTGAACGCAGAGTACTCAGACTGCTTGATTGCACTGAAGAGCTGATTTTGAGGAGGGTGTTGCCACTCACTAGCAAGCTCTGCTGTCTGAGCATGTGTTTCGTGGTCTATAAGATGAAGATAATAATTTCTACCTAACAGGATTCACCCATCCATTCATTCACTGGAGCAGTTATTTGTTATTAGATCTTGGTGCTAGGCAACAGGGATGCAGCAGTGATCAAGACTTGTCACAGTTTTCTGTCTGAAATGTACAAACTGGTCCGTTTTGTGGCAGGTACAGTGAGATAATTTTGTGCAAAAACTTTGTGAACAGTAGCACTCGAAATGTAAGAAGTAGGTGAGCAGGAGAAAGGACAGTAATAGAATCTCAAAAAGAAAGGGGTTATTTATTAGGAAGCTCAAATGTATGAGAGTGGTAAGGCCTCACTGAAGGTGAACGGTTGACTGGACAGGTATAGGCGCAAAAATCTATTAAGAAAGTGGTTCTCTGCCTGGAACAATAATTGAGTATTGTAATTTTAAAGTTTACCCGGGTTTGAATACCCCTCAATGGATTGGTGGGGTTATCAGTAGGCAATAGTTGAGGAGAAATAAAGCAAGAATTTAAAGAGATGTACTAGGTCATGTAATTATTTTTTTAGGAGGAATGAGTTTTTTATTCAGATTTTTGAAAAACTTATTTTCTGTTGGGGTATAGTCGATTAACAATATTATAGTTTCAGGTGAAGAGTGAAGGGATTCAGCCATACATACATGTATATCCATTTGCCCCCAAACCAAGAGGAATAAGATTTCAAGCTACATGAGGATAACCGTCTTCTTTTTTATTTAAGTTACCGTGTACCACTGCTTCATTCAGCCCATGCCTAGTGTGTAGTAGGTGCAGTCAGTCCCCACTATACAAACCTTGAAGTTGTGTACTTCTTTTTTATTTTATTTTTTTTAAGTTGTGTACTTCTTAAAGATGCGGACACACAACTGGTTCCAGCAAGGAATCAGAACCTGTGCCATCAGTGTCAGGCATGCGTGAAGGTGCAGCCTGCTCTTTGTCTCCTGTTGTTGACGATCCTTCAGCTCTACCATTTTCCACCTCCTCTAAGGAAATCAGTCCTGAATATTCATTGGCAGGACTGATGCTGAAGCTGAAACTCCAATACTTTGGCCACCTGATGCGAGGAACTAACTCATTTGAAAAGACCCTGATGCTGGGAAAGATTGAAGGCGGGAGGAGAAGGGGACGACAGAGGATGAGGTGGTTGGATGGCATCACCGACTCAATGGACATGAGTTTGAGTAAACTCGGAGGGTTGGTGAGGGACAGGGAGGCCTGGTGTGCTGCATTCAGTCCATGGGTTTGCAAAGAGTGGGACAGGACTGAGCCACTGAACTGAACTCCCTCCTCCAGTCACTAGCTCTTTTTGCCTGTTCACTTGATGCTATGCTAGCTCTTGTACTATACTACTGTACTTTTCAAGGTATTGTACTGTAAGATTACAAATGTTTTATTTTTTGTGTTTGTTTTTTATGTATTATTTGTATGAAAAGTCTTCTAAACCTATTACAGTACAAAACTATATAGCTGATTATGTTAGTTGGGTACCTTAGCAAACTTTGGGCTTACGAACACACTCTCAGAATGGTGCTCTTCATATGTGGGGGACTTACTGTGTTCAGTAAAGGCTGAGTTGAAAAATGAAAGGGTCTTCAGCAGATGAGTTTTTGATGTGGAACAAGGATGTTGAATTTATTTATGCTAATTTGTATGGTATGTTAGTTTAATTAGGGGACACATTGTGGTTCCTGACATGAAATTAAGTAGTGAAATTAAATGGATTTATGACTATTTGATGCACTAAAGAATAATAAGTTGTGAAGTTTTTCAAAGGCTAGAGAAAACAGTAAGTGTAGGGGACAGAGAAGGTATCAGAACCTGTGTCATGTTGATTTTTTTTTTTTTTTGTCAGCAAATCTCTTAGTAATGAAGAAAACTTGAAATTATTTGGGAAGTGCAACAACCCAAATGGCCATGGGCACAATTATAAAGGTGAGAGAAAAACTGGTGAAATTTTAGCCCTTTCAATAATGATGAATGACTGTTCAGCAACTTTGGTCTTAATGAGTAAGAAGCTTTATGGACAGAGCGTGAATGCTTTGAGTCTTGAATGAGAAAGTAAGTGAAAGTTCAAAATGAAAAGATCTGTTGCCTTAGTTGGATGTATCTTAAGTTATAGTTCAAAACAGAATGGTTTAAATAATTTTTTCCTTGGCCTTCCAGTACATGACATTCTTTTGGCACCATGTTTGCTTCTAATTAGGGATTGCCGAGGTCAATGTTAAAATTAGATTGTATTCACTGTGTAAGTAATGACTGACAAAAAGAGAATATTGGCTCAAGATATGCTGTATGACAGGAAAATAGGTTGGGTCTAAAACTTTGACAGCAGTGTTCTAAGGAGGTAATTAATTTATGCAAGGACAAGAGACTTGTTTATTGAGATAAGATGATATAAAAAAATAGCTGTGTAAGCCATAGAGTATCACAGCAAATGATATGGTGGAGTAAAAAGACCAGAAAAGATGTCAGAATATTGGGCTTTCACTTGTAGTTACTGTCTCTTACTTGATCTGTATCTCTCATTCTCTCTGGTCACTTATCACATACCTAATGGTGCTTCTATGAAACTGAAAGAAATATGTAAAAGTCATTAATTTGTAAAGCACTCTGATCAAGATCTTTCAAAAGTTTCACTTTTTAAAAATTAATTAATTTTAATGGGAGAAGAGTTACTTCACAGGGTTATGATGGTTTTTGCCATACATTGATATGAATTGGCTACAGGTACACATTTTTTCAGAAGTACTTGTTAATCTACAAATCATTGCTATACACTGTGTTTACAGTTTTATGAGATAAAGGACACGAGTTTTAGGCCCAGCGGTAGTTTGCTTGCTCAGGAAGGTAGGAGCAGCCCAGTGTGTAGTTGGATGTCTTCCTGTACATTTTTTACTTCTGTAGGCAGTGATTAAGCAGCATCTTGAAGTAGCGATTCCTTCCAAGTACATCATAAGCAAAATTTATACCCTTTTTGGCCCTGGCTAGGCACTCTTTAGTTCCTCTGCCGTGGCTGAATTGCATTAGTTGATAAAAAGGTCTTAACCGAAAGAACAGACATTGTAGGGGGGAATACAGCTTTGTAGAGCTGGGCTCTAACACCTAATTTATGTTGCTAACTTGTGTTTGGATGTTAACCTGTTGAAAGTCACGCTGGTTTTTTGGTTATTTTGTTTTCTTCCCCATAGTTGTGGTGACAGTACATGGAGAGGTACGTGCCAAACTTGTCTGTGGTTTGTGCAGATTGCTGGGCCCTCTTTCAGCCAAAGCGATGGATTCTGTGTTGAAAACTTCTGTTCAGATTTGTGTTGCTTCGTTATTGGTCTTTGTGTACGGTGAGCTGCTGCCATTTCGGGCCTGTCCTGTCCCAAAGCATCGTCTGTCGTGTGCTGTGTGTGGACAGGTAGAAGGGCGGTGCCGTGAAAGGGGAGCCTCGAGGACCTAGTGTTTCCATGCTGAGATGGATTGTCACGGGGATGAAGGCAGTGTGGGACCAGGTTCCGCACATGTCGCAGTCTTACAGAGGTTAAAATATGAAGAGCATGCTGTAATAATACTCACCTTTGTTTTTTCTTTAGATTGATCCTGTTACAGGAATGGTCATGAATTTGACTGACCTCAAGGAGTGTATGGAGGTAATGGCATGCTGGATGCTGTTTTGTGCTATCTTCTGAGTATAATATTTGATGGCCCCCTTTTCACTTCCCCAGCCAAGTACCATCAGAGGTCCCATGACCTTTCAGGTGGAATTGGGTGTGGGAATGGGGTAGTATTAATAGTTGGAGGAACTTCTCTCAGTGTTCTCTAAAGGTGTTGGGATGGCTGAATGGAAATTAGTCATGGTTGTATTACAGTGACAGGAATGAAATGTAGTGTGTTCATCTTGTCTTCTTTGTTGACATATCCTGATTTCCTCTGTTTAACAAATTCTTCCCTTCTTTCAGGACACTTTATCCTTGAAGCTTTCTATTCCTGAATTTTCCTTATATCTTTAATCACAAATTTTAATACTATCCTGTTTTATTCACTCTAGCTTTACTATAAACTCACTGGGGCAGTTGATGATAGGGATAACAAAAAAGAAGGTTTTCATTAAAAGACTTAACTGCTTATATCATTACAGAATTCTTGGGTTGTAAGAGACTGCAGAGGTTATCTATGCCAGCTTCTTCCTTCCTTTGACTGAGAGTGAGAGACACTGAATAGTTAACGTCCCCTACTTGCCCTCAGTCGTGTAATTAATCCTTTGCAAAGTCGGGAAGTAGATTTCCTTCCATCTAGCTTTGTTTTTATATGCCATCATTTTACCTGTTTGTTGTGCTTCAGCTTTGCTCCTTACTTTTGCTTTAAAATTTGACATTTGTTTAATTAAAAATGTTATTATGAATAATCATTACTTCTTTCATGTTGCTTATCTTCCATATATTTAACAAGTTTGCCTGCTTTGCATCAGTCTTTTAGCTGAGCACTAGGAATCCAATGATGAATGAGACATAACTCTTAGCCACAGCATGCTCACATGACTTTATAGCAGGTGAAGAACACTAAGTGTTAAGTGTTGGTTGAATAGATGAATAGGAGAATGAGTGAGTGAGCGAACAGTGCTGTGCTCAAAGTACTTTAGGAAAGCTATAAGACAAAGTTCTTGCAAACACTAGTGACATAAAATAAATATATATACATTAAGGTTTATAAGAAACACCTAGACAGGCATACAGCGAAATACCAGAGGAGAAATTCTCTGCACTTTTTCCCCATCTTTGCGTACCTGAAGGACGCTGCATACCACATACTTTACTTTTACATTAGTAAAAGTGGCTTATGGCAGACAGAGACAAATTAGAAAGAGCCCTGTAGGAGAGGTCTCAATAGAAAAGTTGGGATCTGAACAGGAGTTTTCAGTTAAAACAAAGATTAAACAAGGATTTATTTTCTTGATATCCATGTGGATATCATTAATTTAAAGTTTGTTTGGCTTAGGACTTACTCTTTTTATATGATTCTGATTTTTCTCAGAAACTGATTGTTATTGTTATTATTAATGTACCCTTCTTAGAACCATACCATATGGAAACTTAGATTGTTCCACGAATTCTTTTTTTTAAATTGAAGTATAGTTGATGTATAATATTTTATGTTATGGGTGTACAGTATAGTGATTGACATTTTTTAAAGTTTATACTCCATTTATAGTTTATAAAATATTGGCTGTGTTCCTCATGTTGTAGAGTATGTCCTTATAGCTTATTTTATATGTAATAGTTCATACCTCTTAATTCTCTATGCTTTTATACCCTTCCCCCCTTCTCTCTCCCCACTGGTAACCACTAGTTTTCGTCATCTGTGAGTCTATTTCTTTTTTGTTATGTTCACTAGTTTATTAATTTTTTAAGATTGCTTAGGTTTTTTCAATAGATAAAAGTAAAAGTTTACAAAAAGTGAAATGAAAGGAGTTGCTCAGTCATGTCCAACTCTTTGCGACCCCATGGACTGTAGCCTAACAGGCTCCTCCATCCATGGAATTTTCTAGGCAAGAATACTGGAGTGGGTTGCCATTTGCTTCTCCAGGAGATCTTCCCAACCCAGGGATTGAACCCAGGTCCTCCCGCATTGCAAGCAGACACTTACCATCTGAGCCACCAGGGAAACTTTACAAAGAATAAGGCAATTACAATTCTTGCCATTGACAAAGAAAAATGCTGTGTATAATATATATAAGTATTAAGAAGCCAGTCTTCACATGTTTTTAGTTTTCTTTCTAAGAGCCCAGGATCATTGTTAAATTACTCCTATGGCAGAAACTCAGAACACCTTACATAATTTCAGTCTTAATCTGCTTTATAAAATGTAGTGCTCATTGAAGGTGTGTCCTAACTATATTGTGGCATTGTGCTGAAGGTGAGACTGTTAGAGAAAAGTATTTGTGGTATCGTTTTGGACCTAATTCAAGAAGTGTTAAACTAAATTTTGAATCACAGAGGCTTGTTATGAGAAAGAACCAGTGAATTCTCTATTTTTTGGTTTCTTACCTCTCTGCCTTCAGTAATGAGGATATCCAGCCATTATGGAGAGCTAGGCCTTTTTTTATTTTACAACTTTAAACTTTCTGAGATTATTTTGTAAGACACAAAGTTCTTGCAAGTACTGAGTTAGTGACGAGATGATAAGGTAAGATTTAGAGGCGAAGGTAGGACACTTTGAAATATGGTTCATAAATGGAATCAGTGATACTTTTCCTTTGTTTTGTCTGTAGGAGGCGATTATGAAGCCCCTTGATCATAAGAATCTGGATCTAGATGTGCCATATTTTGCAGACATTGTAAGGTGAGTGACTTTTATTTTATATAAATAGTAAGAAAGAAGAATTTATTTTATCATTTTACTTGATGATTGTGTGACTTTTTTTTTTAGTGTAATGATATCTTTTGAAACTAGAGTTTTTATTCTCTGTAAATATTAAACATGAAGTTTCGCTTATTTGTCTTTTGACCTTCTTTCCTTTTCTTCTCCAGCACAACAGAAAATGTAGCCGTATATATCTGGGAAAACCTCCAGAAATTTCTTCCTGTGGGAGTTCTTTATAAAGTAAAAGTATATGAAACTGACAATAATATTGTGGTCTATAAAGGAGAATAACTCCTAGAGATTAATTTCCATCCATATTTGAAGATCTTTATCCCCTTGAACAATTAAGAAGTCATCACCTAACTGTTGCACTTCCACATTGTGTTCTGGAATCACTGTGAGTGAGTCCTGTTCTAGACTCAAATCTAATTTAAAACCAAGTTTGTAAAGTATTCTGAGTATCATTTAAAGAGTTGTTCATCTATAGATTAAAATCACTTCAGCAAAATGTTCTGGTGTAGAATTATTTGGAAGCAAAAGAAATGTTTTTTTTTTTCCATTATCTCATTTTTAGTATTCACTTTTTTTTGGTATAATATAAATGGCAAAAATGTTTATAAGACTAACAGTAGGTGAATCTTATAAAAAATACCAGTGACCACAAAGTCTGGAAACAGAGACTACATAGTATTTCTAGTAGATTGAGCTCCCTTGATTACTTCTTGTAGGATATGCTAAACATGTTCCATTGGAAAAGGGAATGGCAAACCACTTCAGCATTCTTGCCTTGAGAACCCCATGAACAGTATGAAAAGTCAAAAAGATACGGCACAGAAAGATGAACTCCCCAGGTGGGTAGGTGCCCAATATGCTCCTGGAGAAGAGTGGAGCAGTAACTCCAGAAGGAATGAAGAGGCTGAGCCAAAGCAGAAACAGGGCCCAGCTGAGGGTGTGTCTGGCGGTGCAAGTAAAGTCTGATGCTGTAAAGAACAGTATTGCATAGGAACCTGGAATGTTAGGTCCATGAATCAAGGTAAATTGGAAGTGGTCAAACAGAAGATGGCAAGAGTGAACATCGAATTTTAGGAATCAGTGAACTAAAATGGACTGTAGTGGGCTAATTTAATTCAAATGACCATTATATCTACTACTGTGGACAAGAATCCCTGAGAAGAAATGAAGTAGCTCTCATAGTCAACAGAAGAGCCCAAAATACAGTACTTGGGTGCAGTCTCAAAAATGACAAAATGATCTCTGTTCATTTCCAAGGCAAACCATTCAATATCAAAATTCATTATAATATCAGTAATCCAAGTCTACGCCCCAACCACTAATGCTGAAGAAGCTGAAGTTGAATGGTTCCTTGAAGACATATAAGACCTTCTAAAACTAATACCAAAAAAAGATGTCCTTTTCATCACAGGGGACTGGAATGCAAAGGTAGGAGGTTACGAGATACTGGGAGTAATAGACAAGTTAGGCTTTGGAGTACAAAATGAAGCAGGGCAAAGGCTAACAGAGTTTTGCCAAGAGAATGCACTGGTTATAGCAAACACCATTTTCCAACAACACAATAGATGACCCTACACATGGATAGGGCCAGATGGTCAATCTGAAATCAGATTGATTACATGTTTTGCAGGCAAAGGTGGAGAAGCTCTATACGGTCAGCAAAAACAAGACCAGGAGCTGACTGTGGCTCAGATCATGAACTCCTTATTGTAAAATTCAGACTTAAAGAAAGTAGAGAAAACCACTAGGCCATCCAGGTATGACCGAAATCAAATCCCTTATGCTTACACAGTGGCAGTGACAAATAGATTGGATGGATTAGATCTGATAGAGTGCATGAAGAACTAGGGACAGAGGTTCGTGACATTGTACAGGAGGTGCTAAGCAAGACCATCCCCAAGGAAAAGAAATGCAAGAAGGCGAAATGGTTGTCTGAGGAGGCCTTACAAATAGCTGAAAAGAGAAGAGAAGCAAAAGGCAAAGGAGAAAAGGTGCACGCTTGGTCAGTGAGGATTAGACCTGAATCGTCTGGCACAGTGTGTTATAAGTGAATGTACGGGGACTGACGGGGCTGCCTTTTGGTCGTGCATGCTGTTCACTGCAGATTTGCTCACGGAACCCTGAACTGCTAGTGAGGAACACTGAACATACCACAGAAGAGGAGCAAACTGCTCATGTGTATTTGTTTTCAGACCTTACGGCTACCTGAACCGTTTAAACTCAGAAGACTGAAAAATAATCACATGTCTTAAACCTTGTTAAGATAATCAGCATGAAAAGGATATGTTACTCTGTACAGCATCTCTCTATGGAAGTTTTTCCTAGTTAATCTTGTTTTGTTCTGATCACTAAATCACCTGCTTCAAGTTGAGCTGCTTTTGTGGCATTCATCTCTGGTATCTTTCTTCATGCCAAAATCTACAAGAATATATTTGCTTTCTTCTCATAAAGAACAGTTCTCACTTGTGTTCTCATTTGTATTTTAAAACCAAGTTCCTTAAATATAGGGTTCATTTTTCTCTTCACATAGCAACTAGTACACAATGGATTCTTAGAATGTTGCTGCCTGAAAAGAGTAAAAGGACTTGTGCCATGATTAGTACACTAAAAAAATTTTCAAAGGAGCATACTTTGGAGAGTTTAACTGCATGTATTTTACAATCAATTTTGCCAGTAATATGATGCCCACTTGATCAAATTTGAATGTCTTTTAGTTATCAGCACAATTTCTATGTTACTTAACATATATTTTGTATAGATTACTTGATAGGCAGGATAACAATAATTTGGTAAGGCAATTTATGTTTTAATTTTTAAAAATTCCATTCAAGGTGAGTGTTATTTCCATTTTACAGATGAGAAAATTGAGACTGAGTTGAGTTTTAAGCTACTTGCCTAAACTAACTCAGCAAAATAAGTAGTAAACTGAGTGATGCTCAGTCTGACTCCCAAGTACAGACTTAAAAAAAAAAAGTGTATACATTTCAATACTTTTTTGATGCCAAATTATGCAGATTTGATATCATGTTAAAAAAACATTTTTTTTTGTGGTAACAGTCACTCCAGGTATTTGTGTTCATGAGTTGCTTCTAGAGAACATTTTTCTCCTACTTGCTCTTAGGAAAGTGAGAATTCTATTTATCTACTGTTTTATCTATCTATCTAGTAAATGAGTGAGTGAGTAGATGAGTGAATGTTCAAGGATAGGATATAGATCTTTTTTAAATCTCCCTAGAACTGCTGTCAGAGACCTTATCAAAGAATATTGTAATTATTGCTTTGTTGTCTAGTCACTAAGTCATGTCCGACTCTTTACGACCCCATAGCTGTAGCTCTCCAGGCTCCTCTGTCCGTGGGATTTCCCAGGCAAAGATACTGGAGTGGGTTGCCACTTGCTTCTCCAGGGGGTCTTCCCAATCTAGGGCTCAAGCCTGTGTCTCCGTCTCCTGCATTGCAGGTGTGTTCTGGGAAGCTTTACTGTTTTGTTTTTTCACTGCCCTGATAACTTGTGGGCAAAATTAAGCAGAATATCTGGTAAATAGTATGCAATAATTTTTGTTGATTAAATGAATGGTGTTTGGTAGAAACTGCTGAAATTTTACAGTATCTTATACATAGTGATAAGTATTTTTACAATTGAGTAACATGAAAACATTGAGCCTTGAGTCCTAGTCTGAGTGCTATTACCAAACAGCTTTGTCCCTTTCACCTCAGAGCCTTAGTTTTCCAAAATGAATGTTGGACAGATGTTTTCTGAAGTTGCTTCTGCCTGATCTTAGATTTTATATCTCAATGATTTTAAATACCAAATGGGTATTAATTTAGAGATGGGAAAAGATTATTGTGGGGTGGTGAGGTTCAGAAAAGCTTAGTGGAGAAGGTTAGTCCTGAATGGTGCTTAAAGTGATGGACAGGGAGGTGGAATAGTTTAGAATTGAGAAGAAAAGGGGAAAAACTGAAAGGGTAAAATTTTGTAAGTGAGGTAAAATTTTGTGAGATCACCAATGTGATCATGTGCTAAGTGTATTTGGTATATAGTGAATAGATTAATATTTTTACAAATTTTAAAACTAAAAATTTTTATTTTTAATTGGAGGAAAATTGTTTTACAATATTGTGTTGGCTTCTGCCATACATCAACATGAATCAGCCATAGGTACACATATACCCCCTCCCTCTTGGACCTCCCTCCCACATCCCACCTCTCTAGATTGTCATCCTGTGTCATCCAGCAAATTCCCACTGGCTGTCTAATTTTACATATAGTAATGTGTACATTTCAATGCTCCTCTCTCAATTTGTCGCACCTTCTCCTTCCCTGACTGTGTCCACAAGTCTGTTCTCTATGTATGCTTCTCCACTTCTGCCCTATAAATAGATTCATTAGTACCATCTTTCTAGATTCCCTATATATGTGTTAATATACAATGTTTGTTTTTGTCTTTCTGACTTAATTTCACTCTATAATAGTCTCTTAAGTTCATCTACCTCATTAGAACTGGCTCAGATTTGTTTCTTTTTATGTTGCTCAGTTCAGTAAGTCATGTCTGACTCATTGTGACCCCATGGACTGCAGCACACCAGGCTTCCCTTTCCTTCAGTATCTCCTAGAGTTTGCTCAAATGCATGTCCATTGAGTTTGTGATGCCATCCAACCATCTCATCTTCTGTCGCCCCCTACTCCTCCTGCTCTCTAGCTCCTAGCATCAGCATCTTTTCCAGTGAGTCGGTTCTTTGCATCAGATGACCAAAGCATTCCTTTTTATGGCAGAGTAATATTACATTGTATATAGATACCACAACTTTATCCATTCATCTGTCAATGGACATCTAGGTTGCTTCCATGTCCTAGCTATTGTAAATAGTACTGCAATGAACATTGGGGTACACGTGTCTTTTTCAGTTATGGTTTCCTCAGGGTATATGCCCAGTAATGGGATTATTGGGTCATATGTTAGTCTTACTCCTAGTTTTTTAAGGTATCTCCATACTATTCTCCATAGTGGCTTTATCAATTTGCATTCCCACCAACAGTGTAGGAGGGTTCCCTTTTCTCTATGTCCTCTTCAACATTTACTGTTTGTGAGTTTTTTGATGATGGCCATTCTGATCCGTGTAAGGTGATACCTCGTTGCAGTTTTGGTTTGCATTTCTCTAATAATGAGTGATATTGAGCATCTTTTCATGTGTTTATTAACCATCTGTATGTCTTTTCTGGAGAGAGATGTCTGTTTAGGTCTTCTGCTCACCTTTTGATTGGATTGTTTGTTTTTCTGGTATTGAGCTGCATGAGCTGCTTGTTTGTATATTTTGGAGATTAACCCTTTGTCAGTTGTTTCATTTGCTCTTATTTTCTCCCATTCTGAGGGTGTCTTTTCACCTTGTTTATAGTTTCCTTTGCTGTGCAAAAGCTTTTAAGTTTCATAAGGTCCAATTTGTTTATTTTTGTTTTTATTTCCATTACTCTAGGAGTTGGGTCATAGAGGATCTTGTGATTT